TGAAATAATCAAGTAACAAGATGAAGCACAATAGGAAAGAATAAAGCTGTATGGAATAGGGGCTCAAAGACAGTGAGCTCTATCAGAAAGGTAGCAAAGAGAAAAAAAGTAAAGGATTGCAAAGGAACATCAAACAGCACTATTAATGGTAGATAGCCACAGGAACGAGATTATGGAAAGTAGACTTCTGGTACAAAAAGAAGATGGAGAACACTAGTAGATATTTAAGGCCCACACAGAGACTCTGAGATTTTTCAGCAGATGATTTTAGACATTTCACGTTAAATAAATGCACTCAGAATCCTCTATACCACCAGAAAGATACTGCAGTTGTCAAGGAGAGGGTTACAAGATTACAGCTCAAAACTACTTGACAAAAACTTCGGCAAGCAAGGGAAGTAGAGGACTATGGAGTTGACACGCTCTACGCTTTAGGAGTGTGTTCAAATGGGTGGTTCAACGCTCCACAAAGCGACATCAAGCCAGGGAAGAAAGGAGGGACTGAATAACTAACCCTCTACCCACAGAAAACCTCCTACGTAATTATTTGTAGTCGTTAATCTCGCATTCTCAGTTTCTTGAGGGACAGCATGCGCTCTGAGACCTCTGTATTGTCTTAACAACAGCACCACAACAGCAGCTTTATTTTCACAGCATTAAACGATACTTCCCATTGATCCTTGCCACGGGTAGAAAGGAAGCTGAAACGGAGGGAAAGCACAACCCGCTCCCCCCGGCCACGGGAGAAGGGCACCGCTCATGCCCCGGGCCCAGGCAAGCCCCTCCCTGGGGGCCCGGGCCCGCCGCCGCCCGGGCAGAGCGCACGCCCGGCCCTGTGCCCCACAGCGGGGCCGGGCCCCCTCGGCAAGAGCAGCGGCCAGAGGCCCCCGGAGCCCCGGGCCCGCCGCTGCAGAGGCAGCTGAGGAGGAGGAGGAGGAGGAAGGCCGCCGTCCCGTTGCCGGGAGACCCAAGCCGGGTGAGAGGGCGCGAATCCCCCGGGGGAGGCGAAGGGGCTCGCAGACGCCCACGTCCCGCTCCGGGGCCCCGCCGGGGGGGGGGGGGGGGGGGGCGGCGGCAGGCAGGAGCCCCCGGCCGCAGCGTGAGGCTGACCTCGGTCCCTCCCTCCCCGGAGCCCCGGGGAAGGCAGCTGCGCCGCCGCGCGACGGAAACCGCGGGAAGCCGCTTACCTGTCTGCTTCTCGCGGATACCGGCCGCCATCTTCCCGACCCGCCAGCCCGGCCGCGCCCCGC